TGTTGGTTACTGTGCTTGTGTTGTGCTGCATTCTTTATCAGACAACAATGGTCTTTATTACAAAGAAATACTCAGATCTTCTTATCATCTAAATCGTAAACTGATATTTTTTCCTATGAATCAATAAATTCTTGATTAACATGAAGATCATAAGCACGATTATTATAAAATAAAACATTTTTATTTATTACTCTTAACTTTCACAACATCACCACTTTCTGTTAAACTGTCAATTATAATATCAGCTATTGCTTTCAGTATTGTATCTCATACATCACCAATAGTTTCATCACTTTCGCATCTTTTATGTTGTGATTTTACATGGCGAAGAAGATGTAATTTTTTTTGAGCTTTTAAATCAAGTGGCGAATTATATACAAATTTGTTAATGTCATCAACTTTTTTAACATCAATTTTTTCATTCGATAAAAATGAGAAAAGAAGCAAGCCAATGTTTATCCAGTGTATCAATTGTAAGACTAGATTCTTTTATAATTTAATCTAATGTGTTATTGCATCAGTTTATTCATTGAGCAGACGTTCTTGTAATTTTTAGACAATATTTATAAGTGTTAAAAATCTTAATTTTCGAGAGGCACTGGATGAATTTTAATCACTTGTAAAATTTGAAGATATTTTCGGCTGACCACTTGTCGCTTTTTGTTCATGCATTTTTATGATGGTATTTTGTCAAATTTTTGAGACTTTTCATTTGAAGCAGAAAAAGTTGACGCATCATCTTATCATTCAAGAGAATTTGTGCATCTTTGAAATAATGGTACTGATGAAGATATGATGATCAAATGAAAATATCTGGGTAAGTTGTAAGAAGCAACAACTTTACTCATGCACCTATGAGGCACGATATCTATGTTGTTCTCACACATCATATATCTTTTTCATTCTATGAAGTGAGTAATGCGTATGCAAAAGACTGCAGTTGAGATTTCATTTCATTAAAATAGTTATCATTTCTCGATCTTTTCAGGTACGATCAAAGTGTAATATCTGTTCTCGTCGGTTTCAAAGTCGTCACTAGTTTCATTGAGATTGGGCTCTTTCGAACGGATTTTTCGATATTGACCTGCATCACTGTAGTTAATCCGAATCTGTACCATGGATCATCTCGACAATGCAAACCATATGGAGAGGCTTGCATCACAAGCACGATATCAATCGACAAAAGTCTCTCGAACTATATTAAAAGGTACATTATTGAACAAAACTATTATTTTCAATCAAAGCATAATACTTAAGTTCAGTCATAATATAATAAATGTTTGATATGGCCATATTTTTCTGAATGATATTTGACTTTTCAATTTTTGTTTCACTTTGATTTTTACTACTATGTTTCATATGTTTTCTAAATATTTCTTATAATGCAAGACATTATGTTTTTAGCTTTATTTTTCGTATATTTATATTCGAGTGGAAATTAAATTTTCCGATTAACAAGACATGTCGGAAAAATATAATTGCATACTTTTTCTTGTCCACAATGTTCATCATATGTTACAAGAGTACCGTTTTTTATTTTGTTTTCTTTTAGTAGTTCTATCGATATACGACAATTCAATTGATGTTCTTATCATTTATAGACCTGTAGCTCTATCATCCAAGTCAATCGATGGAATGGAAAAAAAAACAACTCTTTTGTCAATTAAAAGTTGCGCAGGACTCTAGTTCAAATCATTTGCTTTTTTTTATAATCCAGCCTTGTTTGCAAAAAAAAACATCAATTTTATTTTCACATTCTATTTCGGTTTGAATCTTTTATTGTCATTTGCACAATACAAGATAACTACAAATATCTGTATAGAACAATATTGAATCCAGAGGCATACAAAGTACTTGAACAATATTTATCAAAACAACTTTTCTTTTGCATCTGCAGATTTGTTTACGTCACAACACCAACTGTAAAGATCTCAGCTTGGTGTTTGTATCATTGTTCCAATAATACAAACTTTTTCATATTTTCACCATTTCTCCTAATACAATAAACAAGTGCATGTAATATATTTATTAAACATTTTAGAAAAAAATTCTCTTTTTACTTGCGTTTATTACTTTGTTTGATACAATTATATATAACGTACGATACAAAAGTAATGACACAAGATGTCGATCCTAATTTCTTTTCGATAGAAGAGTGCTGAAAAAAAGACATTTTTATCAAACGATAGAGCTTGTTCTGCACTTTCAAATCGTATATAACTTATTTTTATAACATATTCATAAAGGAAATGATGCAACAGAAAAGAGAAGCACCCTTAAAAATATCTCCCCTTTTCCTAAGATTCAGCAGAACAGTACAAAATGTTCATCTCTATATCTCTTTGATTAATCTTCGATGAATACGTTTCGAAAACAAGATTTTTTTAATCAGTTGATAGGAAAAATGTTCTCCTCTTCCAAATAGTGTATCATTTATATTTATCATACATTGATAAACGAAACGAAATGACAAAAAAGAGAAAGACTCTCATAATAAATTTCTAACTTTTAAATGAATTTGTCAAAAACATCTTGTTAGACAACAATAAATTCAATTTTTTGTGAATTCAATAAAAAGATCTTGTAAAATGATAGTTCATTACAATTAACTATCATCTGCAAGATGTTGCTGATGAATTCATATAAACATTACAAATTTATTTCACGAATGTTTCTCTTTTTCTCCTGTCTTGTTTCATTTATGAATGTGTAACAAATATGAATAATACATTGTTCGAAAGAGAAGAAAATTTCCTGTCAATTCATAAAAAATATTCTTTTCAAAGCTTATCCATCGAAGAGATATAAGAATTGACATTATGTGTTGTCCTTACATAGTATCGTTTATGAACATGTTATATAAATAAGATATACACCATCCGAAAGAGAAAAACAAACTGTATTGTTTCGTAAAAACAAAATTTATTTTCATCATCTCTTTTATTCAAGAGAAATAAGAATAAACATTATTTGCCATTATTTTTGCATCTTACATTACGTTTTCTTACAGTGGAACCAATAGCATTTGTTCAATGTACACGAATTGCTCTGATCATTCTCGATGATGATCGTTCTAATACAGACTAAAAACAGGAGTTCATAATATCTTTCTATTGAATCTCGCGTCCTATAAGATCCACGTTAAAAATTCGAGCATCTTTCTTTTAACCTTCGAACATTGTTCCTATTTCAATGTTCATCTAGCAGGAAATCCATTCGCATTTATACTTTCTCACCAGATATCAAATGCTTCACGAAATGAATGAAATATCTTCATCAAAATAACATAAAATGGTAAATTCGATTCTTTTTTACTGTTCAACTTCTTTCTCATCATCAATCAAAATAAAAGTGTAGGATCATGAAAGAATTTTTTTTTCTCAGCCAGTCGAACATCTCTGCGAGTGACAGGCATAGATTCAATCAGTATCGACATGCTTATCCATATTGAATTTATGCTCACGAATTTGATCCCTAATTCTGCTGTAGGAGTGTCATTTATTCGAACTGTATTGCCTTTCGATAAAGACTAATGTTAACTGTGTTATTCTTTTTATTATGGTAGAATGTTGCTCTGGCAGACTAGTGTTACCACCTATCCGCACGTTTTCGTCATCGCAACATGTATTTGATCAGAGTTTTTTTTTTGAATCGTTTATTTTGGAATAACAACAGTAAAAGGAAAAGGGAAAAAAATATACTAATAGATTTGCACCTTATGGAATCGAATAGTGAAAGCTCTTCTTGTTTACTAATCAAATAAGAATGTGCTTATAAACAGCTGCTCCTTGTTTTTCAGTTAATGTTTGTACTAATGTTCGTTCTTCATCCATTGTGAAAGTATATCTAAAAACCGAGAAACTGTCCGTTAACATATATTGTGGATGTGTTTGCCATGATGAATATTCTTTCAATTTTGTCGAACATCTTCACCTTTAATAAAAAAGCATTAATGGTATTCCACTAATAAAACTTTCTAAATATTTTCCATATTATTTTTGTTCATTTTTTTTTCATTGTTGTTGTAATTTAAACATTAAAATCTCTATTCTCAATCATTCGTTTCCTTATATTTAATCCACCAATGAATTCACCATCCACATATAATTGTGGATAAATATTCCAATTGAATATTTTCAATTCTTGACGTACATTTTCAATAGCAAGTACATGAAAACAATCATATTTTATTTTATGTTCATCAAGTAAATGACATGACTGTCGATTAAATCACAGTGTGGACTAGCTAGTATACCTTTCATAATAAAATGATTGGTGATGACTTAGGTAATTGTTTTATTTTATTTTAACATGATTTGGTGTTGAACTATCATCAGATTTTTTTTCTGTTGCTTGTACAACACTAATTGTATATATTTGTAATTTAATTTTTCTTAATAAAACATTTTGATTAAAACCATCAATATGATAAATAATTTTTGTTTGATGATAAAAGAGAATTGTTGGTGCTGCATTGATATTAACATCATTAAGTAAATCATAAAAATGATCAGCATTAAAATGCCGTATAGCTAATTATTCTATAAGTTCAGAAATAAGAAGGAATATAAATTGCTTTAAAACTAATTTTGTTCATAATTGCGAGCACACAATAATTATCCAGTGTCATAAGATAAATATTTCATACCAGCCGCGAAGATCTTCTTGCGTCCATAAGGCTCGGTAGCAGCACCATTGGTTTTAATACACTGGTATGACCAAATCGAATATAAATAATTTCCAACAGTATATGTTATTTGTTTCCGGATCTTACTGGATGTGATTGGTGAAATAAATTTTTCACGTAGTTAACTAACATAAAGAAAACTTCCGCAAAAAAAAACATTAAATAAAAAGATGAGTAGTTGTTTCTGGTAAGTTGCACAACAAGCATTTCTTATCGTCTGCAGTTTTTCCAAGTCTGTCACGTGTATTTATTCCGTAATTTGCCAATAAAATCCAGAATTCTACTATCACTGTTGGTAGCATACAATTGTGAATCATTTGAAAAAAAGGAATGTTCTTCAAGAAAGAAATACGTTGATAGCATACAGATGGACGGAATATATAGAGATTAATTAATTGCCAATAAAGTGACTGTTTACTATCATCAATTGTTAATGCACCAGTTTTATTAATCCATTTCGCAGTGTGACATGCAACATCACCAAAGAAATTATCATCATGATTAAAATGAGGCACTAAATTCGTCCAAATCCATGGTGCAAATGTACGTAATTGGATACCAACGTGCTGATAAACATAAAATTTCAATATCTTGGGTACCATATTAATTGTTCTTAAACCACATTTAATTCAGTAGAAAATAATCATTGTATTCAGGTGTGGCAGTGCAAAACCTCCACTACCTTTTTTTCCAACACATGTATAAAGATTCATCATTGGGTGTTTGTTATTCCAGAAGAAATTGTTAATATCTTTCTGTACATTTTCAATGATTTTCTTCGGGACATGTAACTGTTGACCACAAACTCATGTGCTTTCTAACATTTGAGATAATTTTGGTTAATTCACCTGCTGGCATTTTACCTTTCGTATCAATCGGGACACCTAAGAAGGTACAATATTCACGTTCAACTTTGGATTGGAAAGAAGGCGGGTTAAGCCAGTCACTAATCCAAAAAATTGATGTTTTATCCTTGTTCGTTTTACCACCAGATACCTTGTTGTACAAGTCAAACATTGCTTGTGTTTCACGTTCGTCATTCTCATTCAAAACAATAGTACACACGTCATCTGCATAAGCTGATAATTTGATAGTAACATGAGCATGATCTTCATTGAAAATCGATCTCATAACTGGTCGAAATTCACTTCTTGGAGGTAAAACACCAGGTATACGAGCATTTTTTCTTATATTATGTAATAATGGTTCCAAACAAATTACATAAAGACCTCCAGCTAATGAACATCCTTGGCGGATTCCAGATCGAAATAAAATTTTGTTACTAAGACAATTATTAATTTTGATTTTGAAGGTGGTATTGGTGTATAATAATTTAATCCAATCTATGAAGTTTTTACCAAATTCAAATTGTTTGAGTGTTTCGAAGAGATAATTATGATTGACTCTATCAAATGCTTTCTCTTGATTCCATTGAATAATACCAATGGGATCACGCCTACGAGAATGACAATCAATAATTGATCGAATAAGGTGAATATTATCATGAATCGTACGTCCAGGAATACCACATGATTGATCATAGTATATGAGATGGTTCAAAACTTGTTTTAAACGCACACTTAATACTTTGGATAAAATTTTATAATCTATATTCATTAATGGTAGAGGCCTAAAACCTTTCATTGAACCATTATAATTCCCCTCCATTTTTAACAAAGTGAGCATAGCATTAAGAAAACCATCATGAAATTGACCATTAGATTTTGCTAAATTAATCATTTGAACATAATATTCATCTATAACTGGAAATAAATATCTCCGTACCTCGACTGTTATTCCATCTTCACCAGGAACACGACCTAATGGCATAATTTTCAAGACATTATAACATTCTTCATAACTAATATCATGTTCGAGGTACTCTCTATCTGTTGGATTTAACGATGGAAGATCTGTGAATAATTCATTCCATATACTTGTATCGATTGTTTTAATGTCATATAGATCCTGATAAAATTTCACAGCTGTATCAATCATATCAGCATTGGTTTTAACTTGATCTTTAATTGGATCATCAAGGACATCGATTCTTGATTGATTTGCTTTAGAATATACAAGACGAGCTTTTGCTAAGTTATAGAGTACTGCAACCCGCGGGTCGGGTACAGGTAGGGTACGGGTATGAAATTAACGGATATGGGTACGAACCGTTATACTCAACTTTAATGTTACCATTTAGTAGCGACATACTTGATCACATAGATGATTGGTCATTCTGTGAAACGATCAACGATGTGTATGAAACCGTTCGAAAAAAATGATAAATACTTTCGTTTATTGCTACTTTATTTCATCTTGATATATTGAGTTTTTTGTGGATTTTGGTATATTAATTATGTCTGTGATTGATAAAGATTCAATTAAAAAAAAGTTAGATAGTGGTGAATTTAAGTCTTGTGATAAACCAACAAGTGCTAGTGCTGGATGGTGGCAGTCATTCAAACGTATTCAAGATGAAAAAGAAAATATTATTCCTTTTGTAATATGTATTCAATGTAAAATAATTCTATTTTACGATGCACAAAAAACTGGTTCTAAAACACTTAAGCTTCATCATGAAAATTGCAAAATAAGACCTGTTATAGCAACTAAAATTACAACTCATTCCACTAGTCAAAAATATGATAAAGTTTCATCTGAACAGAAAAAAAAGGTATTAGATTCATGTGTAAAGTTTTGTGCATGTGACATGAGATCATTTAATACTGTCAACGGCCGTGGTGTTGAAGCTTTAGTTCAAACCCTACTCGATATTGGTCATTCAAGTACTCATCAGATTAAAGCATCAGATATTTTATCAGATTCAACAACAATATCTCGTCGTGTACAATCTGTCGCTCATGGTAAACGAAAGAACAATCTCTGAAGATGTATTTTACTTTTTTGTTTAGAAGAAAAAAAGAAGTTGATTATTACATTAAAAAATGATATCAATGATGTTAAACTATTTGCCATTACATGTGATTATTGGAAAAACTCGTATACATCGGATACTTATTTGACTATTAATATACATTATGGAAAAGATGGGAAAATTAAAAAGTGTATGTTGAAAACGATGATTCTTACTGCATCAAAAACTGGTGGTAAGTTCACTAACTGAAAATTGTTCTTGGAAATAAATTTTAGCTTACAAAATCACAAAGTTTTGTGCTAGAACAGTAGAATCCTGAATACATTTTTCCTTTTTAATTTTAATTTATCGATATTCACCTCTCAAAATTTGCAGTATTTTCTTTTATTATAGAAAATACTTGGAAAGCAATATATAATACATTAGAATCATTTTTATTACAGACAATGCATCCAATTTAATTAGTGCTCTAAAGTTTGAAGCTCATATTCGATGTATATGTCATTGTATCAACTTAGCAATTCAACATACAATTGAAAACTGTACAATCATTAATTTACTAGTTCAAAGTTTTCGTGAATTAGTATCGCACTTCAAAAGATGTGAATTGCAAAATATTCTACCAATAACATTAAAACATGATTGTATTACCAGAGGGAATTCAATTTTTTTGAAATGATGAACTCGATCTTGTTGAATTTTACACAAATTGAATCTATTTTAAATGATCGTAAAGAAATATTTTATCTTGACAATATCAATCGAACACGGTTCATTGAAATATGTCAAATTTTATTGATCTTCAAAACAGGTAGTGAAGTACTATCTGCCGATGATTCCCCGACCCTACATCTTGTCGTGCCATTTTGTAAAAAATTTCAAAATTCTTGTCAAGTACGATCAGGTGAAAGTTTGCATATTACGGAATTTAAAAGAATTTTATTGAATAAACTTGAAGACAAAATTTGGCTGTCTGAGTTGCATTACATCGCGACCTTTCTTCATCCAGAAACTAAAAATTTGCATGTTAGTAAAAGATCTTTTAAATTTAAATGAAAAATTCTTTTTTCTTTTCTTTTTGAGTCGTTAAAAAAGTCTGAACGAGATGAAGTTGTAAGAAGTGTTCGGCCAATGTTGAAAACATTGAAGATTGATCAACCAACAACTGAGCTCGCTTCCAACACAACAATTACATCTTTTCCGGCTGAAAAACAAAAAAACGTTCTCGATATGATGAATTAACTGTTAATGATGTATTGAAATCATTTAGTGGAAAAGACAGTGATCCATCAGATGATGAAGAATCTGATCAATTTGATGAAATCAATAATTATATGAAAAAGAAATTCGTTTTTCCAAAAGATATTGACATATTACAGTGGTGGCAAGATTATTCACTTATTTATAAACAGTTATCTCGTTTGGCTATGGCTTTATTGTCAATTCCAGCTAGTTCAACAACTAGTGAACGAATCTTTAGCGAGACTGCGCGAACGCTAGAGTCTCGGAGACAGTTATTAAGTCCTGATTCATTAGATGCACTTATATTTCTTCGTCACTGTTTGTGATAGTCATAAAAAGTATTGTTATTTCATTCTCATTTACTCAAGCTAAATAAAATAGCCTTATATTCTAAATTGCGTTTACACCTATGATGTAAATGGAATCAACTGTGAATATTGAAGTTACGGTTACGAGTAAGAGAAGACACGAGTAAGGTACGGGTACTAAAATAACTGGTACGGGTACCAAATCAACGGGTACGGGTGCGAAACTAACGGGTAGGGTACAGGTAAATAATTCTTCTTCGGGTCGGGTACGGGTAAATAATTCTTCTTCGGGTCGGGTACGGGTACGAAAAGTTGTGCCCGTGCAGTACTATACTAAGTTACTCAGTTGTTTAACATTTTGTTCACGTGCATTTGGTAATGTATTATTGATTTTTTTTTCTAATAAAATGCGAATATCTTTATGTATAATATCCATTTGCATAAGATCTTCATCAGTTGGATCATTAGCCCGAATACGATATTCCAATTGTAATTGATATAATTCATGTCGAATTTCGTGATTCATTTGTTTTTCTTCTTCCTGTAACAGAAAAGTTAAACTTGTCTTGAAGTCTATCCACCAATGTATTGAATTCATTATATCCAAATTGAGGAACACATTCCACATTGCTCGAAATTTTTCTTGAAAGTTTTTTTTTTTGATAACGTCGGGGTTACATATCCACCTTCAAAAAATTTTTTCATTTAATGTTGGACTTTCTAATTTGACTATTAAACAATCATGATCAGAGAAACCAGCTGGGACATAATCTATTTTTGGATATTTTTCTTGCCTATTTCTGAATCAAAAAATAAATCAATACGACTATGATAATTCCTTGTTTCATCATGAAACGAGTAATTGATCTTTCGAGGGTATTTAGCACGAAATAATTCTGTTAATAATAATGGGTGTATGATTTCTGTTAGCTTTTCGTATGTTATCCTAAATCTCCTGCACACTTTCTATTCGTAAGCGGGAAGATAACTACAGAAAAGTGTCTGGTCTGTATATAGTTCTGAGATATCACACGTAAAAGGAAAACTGCCTACCTGAATAATATATCCAGCAATAAGGAAAATGATAGTTGAGATGTAGGTAGTTTAGAGTTTATTGATGATAAGGAAAAAGACAAGATCATAGATATACGAGTAATAATAAAAGAGAGGAAAAATAAGGCTTATAATAGGTGAGGGGACGAGAGAGAAAAGAGATGTTGTTCAGAAGGATGAATGATAACAACAAGATAATCAACTGACTAGTAATGATAACTAATGAAAGCATATATATAGGAGAGAGAGAGAGAAAAAAAAATAAAACGACAGGAAGACAAATTATATATGGAAGGAAGGACAAAACAAAATGACCAAAGGACAGTGACTAAATTAGTTAGCGGCAACATAGTGTCATCTGTTGACGCTAACAATTTCGTTTCAATTCCTATCATATTGATTATTTGGTGTACAGTTGAAATTCCCACCAATTGATATCCATTCAGATGATGGTATATATAAATATAAATCTTTGAAAAATGTACATCGTTCAGTAATTTGTATTGGAGCGTAAATACTAACGATTACAATTGGAATTTGATTGTATGTAGTTTTGATGAAGATGATTCGACCATCAGGATCGACATCGCTGTCAACAATTACGTACTTTTTCTTTATCATAATTAATGTACCTTCAGCAGACCAAGTGCCCATGCTGCATACTATATCGTATTCTAAGAATGAACTTTTAAAGGTATCAAGATGTTTAATTTTGGTCATGTAGAGTTCTTGT